ATACGATAACTTTCATCCTGTAATTTAAAAGGGACAACATGGACCATAGTCTTAAAATAAGTATTGTACTCATTCAGAGCTGAGTTTTATTTATTTTTAAAGACATTTTCCAGTCATTGTTTGAACGATAGCTGTTGCTGTTCCAGCATTACAAAAATTAGTCTCACTGTTTTTCATGCAAAATGAAGTCAAGAGGAAAAGAAAAATTCTAATGGTGGATGTAATTTGTCATTTTTAATCTTATTTTTGTACATCCAAACAACTCGCGGGCATCGTTGTAAGAAGACTTTGACCCTACCGCCTTGTGGCCTGACCTACATTTACCAGTCAGAGGTGTTTTGTTGGCCGCTCCCCACACATCAGAAATACCAGGCATGCACAGCCTTTCCTGCCCACCCGTCACTTTCACAGGCTGTTTTTGTTCGTTGTTGTGAAGAGCGCAAAAGTCCATTTTAAATGGATTGTGGGCTGAAAGGCAGGCATGGCGGTTTGAGGGGGGTGAGCAGTCCAGTAAGCTGGGTTATTTATGCGAGTGAAGGATCAGTGAGTTTGCTCTGCTGCCGGGTGAGAAGAAGGATAATGTCTTTGGGAATAATCACTTCTACACAGCCATGCCTGTTTGTGCTTTAATGTGAGCTGGCGGGGTGGATTTTCTGAAATGGTAACAAAACACACACGCACAGGGCTTAAATATTAGTGCAAGATGTATAGTATACACAAGAGTGTTTTTCTATTGCGGCTTTCTCGATTCTGAGCCCTGCTTCTCATGAGGTTAAGTAAGCTGCAAACATACCAGATAAATCAATTAAGATAATATGTATTCTTCAGGGGGAGAAATCACTTAAATTACTTTGAGAATGTAAAATTTATTGTCATTTAAAGGGACATTACACAAAATTAGCTGCAGTTTTGAGTGCTATTCCTAAGAAACCTTCCACATCGGATCAGCAGCCCATATGCCAACGAAATAGGAAAAACTTGCTTCATATAGTGAATCTTATAAGGCTTATATGATTTACTCATGAAAGTGGCCACTTTCTCATTACTTTCATATGTTGTTTTAGGAAGTATCCAAAACATACCAGTTTCATTTATATAATTTTCAAGCGATCTTTTATCTGTTTTCACTCTTATATGCTTTTCATACAAGTTTCAAACAAGACAGATACAAACTTTATAAGATTTATATATATCTTTTCCATATGGGAGGCCTCAGTCACACAGAGTTAGAGACCAGCCACCCAACACCACCTGGCAACCTCTGATCACTAAGGACAAATGTGAATTCTCCAACCGATTGGTGAGGGGTTTCTGGAAGCTGCTTGTGGTCACCAGGTGACCAAAACCTCCTTTTGATTGCTTTGATCGCTAGTTTGCATGGAAGATGCTGACTAGTCTGCTGGCACTCATCAGCTAACCACCAGGCGGTACTGAAATATACAATACAATGCAACTTTATTTATATAGCACATTTAAAAACCAACGATATACCAGAGTGCTTTATTTCCATTCATTCTGTGTAAGGCCACATTTTGCTTTCTCAGTGAGATTTCAACAGAAATCGAAGAAAAGCGCCAACCTGCAGTCAGACAAGAGGGCAGTGATGCCTGCTCAGTGCTTCATTCGGTCTTGGCTATTTGGCAGTTAATTTTGTATATGCTTGTATGTGATTTTGTACTGAACAGGTATTGTACTGCATAGTGGCAGAGAGCCCAATGGGAAAGTGGTGAGCATTGTTGACTCACAGCAAAACAGTTCTGGTTTTGAGCCTGTTTGTCAGCTCAGGTCGTTCTGTGCAGAACAGCTAAAGTAAAGGTGTGGATCAGTGGTTGTTCTTCTCTCTGTATTAGTGATGTGATGGACTGCTGACCTGTCCAGACTGCACTTGGCTTTTCACCTGATATCAGCTCGGATGAGCATCAGTGACAACAGATGGATGAACTGACTCTCACAAAATTAGCAATTTGGCTGCTTGGATTTATTAGTGTTTATATACAACTAAAATCTTATCCAATTGACACAATTTTCACACAATCACTTGCAGAGGAGCCAGCTTGTGTTTTGACACAGCGATTACTGTGAAAGCAAACTACCATGAGCATTTATACAACACAAGACAGATGAAAAAAAATCACAAGCCTAAAGAGAAGGCTGCAGTCACAGGGAGCTCTCACTGACACGTGTCTCAGGATATGAGGTCAGCAATTTTCTCCAAAGTGAAGTGTTCAAAGCAGTAAAATATCTGCCTGTATGTTAACAGAAAGACACTCGGCGTCTCCTCTCATTCAGGGATTTCTTGTGCTCCATGGTAGTGATTTCAAAGGCAATGAAGCCTCTTCAAATCTGAATACCCAATTAGACTTTGCCTCAGCGATACAACTGACTCTGCTCATTTTTCATTACTGCACATTATTTCCATTGTTACGTAGTTACATCTGTATTCCGTCTTTACGGAGTGAAGCTAATCAATTTAGGTCTATACCCGTGCACAGCTCCAATTGCTGATTTATTATATGTGAGTCACCTCAGGGGAAATATTACTTTTGCAATAATAACGTCTGCAGAGACCAGATAGAGCAACAATCCAGAAGAAATAAGTCTAAAACAGCTTTGTGCACTTTTCAGCCTCACCAAAGACTTGAACTCAAACCCGTGCCACTGATTTAATCACTGATTCTCATCTGACATATTTGTTGTCATATTTGTTTTTCTCTGATACAGCTTAAGATATTGTTAAAACTCTCAATTTTTGATCAAATTTGGATCTTCTGAAGTCATTCGCTACTAGCCCATTTAATTGTAACAAGAATTACCACGTGATGCTACACTGTGTAGCCTGAGGTCGACTGCTCTGTTTTCAGTGCACAAGCAGCATTTAGGAAAGATGCACGGAGGACAGAAGCAGACATGACATGCAGCATTAGTCAGCAACCCCGTTTGCTATGTCTGTGCTTTTGTGTGCACCTGTGTTTGTGAATAATTGACTGTCTGTTTAAATTCCTGCTCTGTTTAAATTACTATATCACAGCCTTTTTGTGAACAAAACATAATTGAAATGTCATCATTTGATTTTGAAGCCAAAGGGAAATTAGCAAGCTATGAAAGGTGCTGTACTCATTTCATTCACCAATTGCACGTCTTTGCTGTCATGTTGGGTCTAAAACGATCCATCAGCAGCAAAAAAATGCAGTTTAGGTTGTGGGTAGATTAAAGCCACCAGTCCAGCGGGTCTGTGTTATGAGCTCAGAAATATAGAAATCTTTGAGAAGAAACATTTTCCCATTGAAACGCAAACGTTATACTCCGTGTCAGACATATTGAGTCATTTTACAAAGCACAACATATCTGAATATGGTCATCGGCCAACAAAGGTCTTGATGTTTGTAACATTTTTTGATGTGGTTCATGCATTCAACAGCCAGTTTGTTAGGTACACGTTTGCAACTGCTCATTAATTCAAATATCTAATAACATGTCAGCAACTAAGTTTTAGGCATGTAGACACTGTTGAGGTGACCTACTGAAGTTCAAAACGTGCATCAGAATGGGGCAGAAACGTGATTTTACATGTGGCATGGTTCTTGATACCAGACAGGCTGATGCAAGTTCTTCAGAAACTGCTGATCTGTTGGGATTTTCCTGCACAACCATTTTTAGGGTTTACAGAATATGGTCAGAAAAAAAAATACAGCAGCAGCTCCCTGGGAGAAAAAGCCTTGTTGATGGCAGAGGCCATAGGATAATGATCAGACTGCTATGAGCTGATAGGAAGGCAACACTAATTCAAACAACCACTCATTGCAACCTACATGCTACATTTTTCACCTGTTCACCAAAACTAGAGGATAAAATACTGGAAAAGCATTCCCTGATCTGATGAGTTTCAAATTTACAACATGAAAGCTTGGCTTGAATCACCTGTTTAGGCAGTGGTGTAACAGTAGAGCAGGGTTAGGCAACTCCAGGCCTCAAGTGCTGGAGGTTTTAGATGCGTCCTTGATCCAATACAGCTGATTCAAATGGCTAAATTACCTCCTGAACATGTTGTGAAGTTCTCCGGAGGCCTGGTAATAAACTAATCATTTGATTCAGGTGTGCTGACCCAGGGTGATATCTAAAACCTGAAGGACATCAGCACTCAAGGCCTGGAGTTGCACACCCCTGGTATAGAGGATATTTACTTGCACATTTAGTGGCCCTTAGTACCGCTTGTTCTGATGGTTCCTTCATTGGGATAATGTGCCTCCACAGTCACTAGATTTCAATCCAATAGAGCACCTTTAGGATGTGGTGGAACATGATGGGCATCATGGATGTGCAGCTAACAAATCTGCAGCAACTGTTTGATGCTGTCATGTCGATATGGACCAAAATCTCTGAGGAATGTTTCAGGCACATTGTTTTTAAGGTGAAAGCAGCTTTGAGGACAAAAGGGGTCCAACACAATATTAGTAAGCTGTAGCTAATAAAGTGTAAAGTCAGTGTGTTTCATACAGAAATACAAAATGCATGTACTTTAATATTTTGTCCCAGAATGGTCTCTAGCACAGTCCACAGTGGTAGAAGAAGCTAGTAGGAGGCGGCATGCTGCCCTGCTGCTCTCAATGCTCAGCACTGCAGGATTGCTGTTGTTCAGCTCAGGCATCTTCAGAGTGTTTAACTACCAAACACAAAGGTCCAGGCTGGTCTGACAGCATCATGCAGAGAACAAGGATACTGAATTGATCATCGGGCAAACAAGTCTAGACTCTTCCTCATTGGTTAGTTGATAAAATATGAGAAATTGCTGTAGTGTTGCTTAGCATTTTGATGGGTAGAAAAAAAAAGCATAAAAATTGATGGGTGTGGCTGTGATAACGTAAAGCATAAATGCCTGAGTTATTATGTACCAGTTAATTATTTTTTAAAATTTGTGAGAACATCAAAGATCTCAAGGTTTTTTTCAGCCCAGTAAAGATTAAAGTCGCACTTTAAATTGTCGATTTCTCAACCTTTTTCAGATCAGAAGACGAAGACCCACGCCCGCCACTTTAGTGGCATCCAGTGATCAATCATCACCAGGTAAGGAAACCCAAACACGCACACTATATTTGTCACTTGTGTATCAACTTACTCTGTGTTCATTATCTGTGGGCTGACATAATGACAGGTTGTTAAGAAAGCAGAATTTGGCTTTCTTTAAGCACAGGAGAGACATACATACAGTTCTGAGAGCTATGGTTTGAGCAGCAAGCAGCTGAGCTGATATTGTGCTTTTACAAGTGTTGCTAACTATTTTATCCCTTATTGTGCTAAATGACAGGTGAGCAGCAGTCATTCACATTACAGAGGACTCTTATCAGGTGTGTGCACAGTAGCCCAACTATATTCGCATAATGGAATTAAGCATTTTGCCGAAAGGCTCAGCTTACCTGCCGGAGTCGTCTTTGTTTGCGCCCTTTTGAGTGACCTCATTCAAAATTATGAGATAACTGCATTTTTTACTCAAGGCTGAATTCAGTCTTAGAATTTAAAAAACAGCACTGCTGATCCACTCGGTCATTTGTAAGCAGACTCATTCATCTTTGCTCGAGTGTGTGCACATAAAGGCTTCAAGGTCAGTCAGGTACCATTTCCATTATTTTGGGTGAAACCACTTTTCACCTTGAGAAAGGTGGTTTAGGTGCTTCCGTCTCTTTGTTTTTTACCGTTATGGTAATGAAGGGTCCCCTTATTCAAAAAAGTGACGAGTTAATAAACCTGCACAAATAGAGTTTGTGCAGTTTCACAGATATCACAACTACATGCCTAACCTCCCACAGCTCACAGCCAAACCTGTAATTCTTACCTTAAAGCACTTCTTCACTGAAAATCTTACTATGAGATGCAAAATTAATTCAGGCCCACTCTCAGTCAAATTACCTCAATTACAGTACTGTATGTTTCACACTGATATCTTCTCCTGCTTGTTGTGACGTTGCATCTAAACTCTATCATGCACCAAATGAATCTTCCTGCTGCAACAAAGCAAGATAAAACAGCCTGGTGCGCGTCCTCTCATGGGATCTAATGATCAAACACAACACTGGACCTCCTGAGAGTTATCCTGTTATATGAGTCATGCTTCCCTGCTTCCTCTGCTTTACTTTGTTCTGTGAGTGTGTAATGTGACCTACTGCAGAATTAACAGATGATCAGCAGGCAATGGGGCAGAAACAGTCATTTTTAGGTGAGGAAACTGAGGGTTATACTCCCTGCTGAGTAAGAAAAGAACAAGTGTTTTGCGTCACTGAGGACCGATTCGGGGAACACAACTATTATTTTCTTCATATCAAAGCATTTTACCACAGAAAGATGACATGTCTTTGCTTTTTTATCTTGCAAAGAACAACAGTCTAATTTGGACAGATTAAGAATAAGTGTTTCCTGTGATATGCCTGGTGTCTGAAAACCACTGTGAAAGTGTGCTCACAAGTGCATGTGCCTCTGCATTTATTTGAGTCAGTAATTGGACACTGAGCATGTGCAGAGTCTCAAAGTCAACCTTGATCTCTGAATAAAAGTGCGGAGCAAAACCTCAACAATCCCCTTAGCTTCATAGATCAGAGACGAGAAAAGAAAAATAAGGAACTCGAGAGGGTGTGCAGAGGAGTGCAGCGGGCAAAGTCATTTTAGAAAAAAAGGAATAGGAGGATGAATAAGCATGGACAAAACATAAAAGTGTAATTTACTTACATTTATATTTATTATACTGATTCCAGGGACTGAAGGAAAAAGAGAGAATATGTATGTGTGAATGAGGGGAGACGGGTGGAAAGGTTAAGTCGCAGGTATTAGAGGTAGTGAAGGTGTATGAGCTGATACACCTGGGGTCAGCCATCCAAAGCAATGAACAGTACACAGCAGAGGTGAAGAAAGGAGTGCAGGAAGGGCGGAGTGGGTGGAAATGAGTATCAGGGGTGATTTGTGACAGAAAGACAAGAGCAAGAGCGAAAGGGAAGGTTTACAAGAGAGCTGCTATGATGTATGGTTTGGAGATGGTGGCACTAACAAAAAGACAGGAGGTGGAGCTGGAGATGGAGGCAGATGAGCCGCTGTGCTGATCCCTGATAGAAAAAGATGATACTGACTGCAGGCTTCTGATTTTAAATGTCTTTTAAACATTTTTTTTTCTTTCTAAACTTATTAAACGTACTAGAGACCAAAAGGTCTCTTAGGTTCCACAGAATCGTACAGGAGAGAAGTTTTCCACTTATCCCATAATATGGATTTACCTTGTTTTGCCTTAGTGTCACTTAAAATGAGGAATGACTCAAATAGCCCTTGGTAAAGCACAGTTAGCTTGCTAAGCTGGTCTGCAGGAATAGTTTTTTTTGTACCAGCGAGACGTGAGTGATTTCCTGACAGATACACGGTGACAGTTTTTTACTCAGACACATCTTGGGAGGCACACTGCTAAGACACTGTTGCACTACATGCCTCATACAGGTAGTGTTATTGTCACAATGGTGCCCATTTATAAGTACACACTTTTAATTTCTACACTATGATTTTATTATAATAATAATTTATAGCAAATTATTGTCATGGCTCCTTGCTGTGGTTTGTAGATCACTAGTGTTCCTTTCACACCTCTTTGAAAACCATTACTGAGATCTAACTGAGCAGAGAGATTGATAACTTTGCCTCAGGGAATTATAAAGTGTATTCTATTTATCTTTATTTATAATGTAAAAATATAGAAATCAGATAGTGACAAATATATATTTTTCATTCTTTTTTTTGCAGAAAAAACTGGGTACCAGTATTGACCACAGGCAGTAAAAAACCAGCCACCGTAAAATTGGCGATTGGTTAGTGAAACTGAATCGTGACATCTCGACTGGAGCTGTTTTAGCTGTTGGCCTCTTGATGTTTCAAAACAGCATGTAAAGAGCAAGAAGTGACTTTGAGAGCTCAGCAGGCTCACTGGCTTAAAAGCATTAGAATACCCTGGATAATCTTCTTTTTGAACTCTATTGATGCTTTTATTTTATAAACATAACATAGCTGCTGGCTGCTTTCCCATAAACTTTTAAGCACTCCAATTTTATTTGATTTTATTTGATTTTTTGTAACCAAAGGATTCACCCCCTGCTGGCCATTAAAAATCAGGCAGGCTTAAGGCATTTATCCATTGGCTTTACTTTCCAGCCCCACAAGCTACCTTTGTCTTTTATGCTACCTGTGATCCTCACTAGCAGCGGCAAAGACTGACATGTAATCAGAGCCCGAGACAGTTGTACGTGTGTGAGACAGAACACGGATGTGCAACGGAAAGGGGGATGGGGAGCACACATGACGATGAGGGAGAGGAGCTGTGCTGGTGCAGAATTGCTGTGCCCCACATCACACGGATTCCTGCATTATTTAATGTGCTGCAGATTGCTCTGTCCTGTGCACTGTGAACCCCAAAAGCACATCAGAGGAACAGCTATACATAACTGGGACGCAGACTGCAGGCTAAATAATGAGGAAACTGAATTTATTACAAGCGAGTGGTGAATTTCACTACAGCTTTCTCTGAAGAAGAGCTTTACTTACTCTTAGGGTGAGACGAGGAGAGCTGAGTGAAATGAAAAAGAAATATTTGATTCATTACAGTAAATTAAACTTTGCCATAATGGCTGCATCTGAAATTACATGCTGATTACCATATTGAAAGTCTATGAGAGATTTTTCTACCGTATCTCAAACCCAGTGGTGGCCCAAAAATCTCATCACATATTATTTATTGAATATTGCAGTATGCACAAATGGTATATCACAGCTCCATAAATATCTACTGACTATGGCAGCTCTGATATTAGTGCTCTTTAATTAAGGAATCAAGGTTTTAATTGCTTGTTGCACTAGTTTTTAAAAATGTGTTCACATTTCTCCAAATGCAAAAGAGCAGCGTCACTTATGGAACTCTTATATATGAAATACTTTAACCACATAACATGAGCACAAGCAGCAGCAGCTTGTCTTTGTAGGAGTGGATCCTGGCACCTGACACACTTTGGCACATTTAAAACTAGTAGGAATTTCCAACATGATATGATATGATATAATCATATATATGTGTAGTCTTCTGAATATTACACATACAGACCATGTTTCACTAAGAATAAGACAAACTAAATAGCACACTCTTCACAGACCTACCACTTTGTGCACAAAGTAAAAGAACGTATTTATGTTACACTCTATTTTAATGCCATGGATGTTAAAAACAGCGTGATTGTTGTGTTTATGTTAAATCCAAAAGGCGTCAGGAAGTTTTGTGTTGTGCTGTTTTTAGGTGCAGGCCTAAAAACAACAGCTTTAGGCAAGACTGAATCTTTGTACCTAAGCCAAGTGACTACTGACAAGAATACAAATAAGCATATTAAAACAAAACAAAGCATAACAAAAAAGAATGGCGCGTGGGTGTGTGCGCTGATTAAAATGCACATACTATTAATAATAAAGTGGGTTTTCTGTTATATGCAAGAGGAAAGACACTTTTCTGATCAGTCTTTAGACACAGACTTCCAGCCCTTAAGCCTTTTTTTCATTTCAACATTATACGGTTGTTCGAGTTTAAACTGCTGATATCTGCCTTATGCATTAAGTGGCTGCTGGTTTGTTGGGGATTGAGTGTAGGAGGAGGAACAATGTTGCCTTTAAAATTAAAAGCAGGCAATTATTATTTGTCCACAAACCAAAGACTTCACCTCCCATCTTCTCTGTAACCAACAGTAACAAACTGCAACATGAACACAGAAAAACAAGCCTTTCAGATGCAAAGTGTGAGAACAGTGTTTCTTTTTCATTTATTGCAAGGCTGCTTTTTCTTTATCAGATATACCAGGCCAGCTTCAAACAGACACCAGCAGTGCATAGCTAAATTGGAGCGGCTTGGCAGAGTAAAGTGGAGGCAGAAGACCCTCTCTGTTCTCATCTGGCGTCGTGTCAGACAGTCAGCTGGGAGCTGCAGTGATAGACTCATCAGTGCTGAAAAGGCTTTTTTTATTGGCCTTTTCTCTCATTCTGCATCACAGATGGGCCCAACACGAGACAAAACAATCTGAATATCAGCCATGTGAACAATTTTTCTGTTTTACCCAAGTTATTTTTTAGCTTTTCTACTGCTACACATTTTAATAGCTGTGCTGTTTGATTTAATTAAACATTTTAAAACTTGTGCTTATCCCAAATACTAACTTAAATCATCATAAAACCTAAGAAAAACTAAGATAACCACAAATACATTTTGGGCTGCAGTCTAAAATGTCAAATAGTATCCTGCTGCTTGAGGTGATGTCAGAGTGACATCTTTTATACTTCATTTTTGGACGCACAATTTTGGTCCACTGAAGCGGTTGTATTTTGCCAGGCGACCGTCTTTTTTTTCTTTACGTCTACTGAACGTCACAATAATTTTGCAACATGTCTATATTTCACATCATAAAACTGAAATGATTGTTATTTGAGTAAACAACAAGATAACAAGACTGGTATATATTATTTTAGCTGTTATGCAATCAGATGTTACGAGCACATGAATCTGACGAGGGTTGCGTCACTGTTAGGGTAAGGCTTGCACTAAAGCAAAATTAGCTTAACTGTCCTTCTGGGGACCATATTTTAAAAAATTAACAATATATTGTAAGTAATAGGAATTTGAACATAAACATAAGCAAGTTTTTAATTAGGGTCAAGGATGCAGGGGACCATTTCCCCCCAGCCTTCTGTATACCCAGGCAAGTCTTATTCACCCAACCACAATCACATTCATGCAACACTTTTATCTATTTCATTTCACACACACACACACACACACACACACACACACACACACACACACACACACACACACACACACACACACACGATGCAATATGGGGTTCAGTATCTTAAGAATACTTCAGCATTCAGACTGCATAACACTGTGGGCTCAATCCACCCACCTTCCAATTCCACCACCTGAGCCACAGGTGTTACAGCGAGTATGGATATTGTTTTGTTGTTTTTCTGGCTAATGATAGTTAATGGTTTACACTCTACATAGAAATAAGGCCATAGCCTCTTACTGAGGCAACTTTATCATATATCAACTTTATCAAGCTTTTAATGTGAAAAATTCTACAAGACCACCTTTTAACATATATTTTCACAACCGTGCATCCAGCCACTTTCTTCAGTTTATCATATTGAGGATTGCAGGACATATTTACTCTAATGATAATATTTGCAGCCTCTCATAGCAAACACAGTGAGAGGTTTTAGTGCTGCTCAAGAAACATAGAATACACGTATTTTTTCACTGATAATTTCAGACTGTTTTATCAAACATGATCCGGAGACGTAAAGGAGAGCCCACAAGTTAATATGAAAAACATCCATAATGTCATATGAACCTTCTAAAACTCCTGGGATGCTGTGTTAATAGGATTCGGCTTCACGGGGATGAATCTTTTTTTTAAATGACATTTATTGGCTTTTATACCGTGTTTCTTACACCCCCATGCATGTGTGTGGTGAAGAGAGACAGAGAGAGAGCGATGATGAAAAAAGAAACAAGCACATCAGTGGCATTTTTCAGCAGTCTAACACATACTTTTTAGTGGGAATATTTTGGTGCACACACAGTGCCTTCCCAATGCCTGGGGATGCATAGGTTGCCAAGCAACAAGGTGGTGTCCTAGAAAAAAAAAAGTTTAAAGCTGTAAAACGTTGATTTGGATCCAAGTTCAAAACGCTCGCTATTGATCCCGGTTAATGGTTTCACTGTACTCTGGTGAGCTGTATTTTCTTTCCTTCTCGGTTCTTCATTGTTTCGAACAGAGCCGTGTTTCATATATTGATTTTTTATTGAGTTTTTCTTCATCCCGTGAGCTTCAGAATTCATACTTCATATTGTGCTGGACCTGTCCTCTACTGCTAAGTAAAAACTGTATTCAAATAAACAGTGCTATAAAACTCTGTAAGTGATTAACTAGAAGTAAAAATCTTGCTTTTAAAATGTAATTTCAGTACAAGCACACAAGTTTCATCAAACTAAATTAGCTTAACAACAAATAAAGAATATTTCAGTGTTTCAGGCAGCTGTAGCCTAGTCTTTTAGATTCTTTCCCTCGCTGTAAAAGTTTTATACTTTATATGAACATTTTAAAATTCTTAAGAATTTTATGCATCTATATAATATGTGAATAATTGCAGTCAAACTAAGCTCTGCTCAAGAGTGCACCACAGTATGATGTATATTTACTTCCCTTTAAGAGTGTTGCACGTGCTTAGGTGTGTATCTGAGAACAGCTGTTGAGCATATACAGGGGTCTATGTGAAAGATGTAAGTGGATCATAAAAAGAATCCTTCAGACGTATGATGAAAAATAAAACATTATGACCAACAATTCTGGATAAAAATGGAGCAAACCATATTGCAGTGCTTGTGGTTACAGCGTGTCAGATAACCATCTGGCTGGAGGTCACCATATATCCACTGTGCTCCACACTGTTCAAACACACAAGTGCTCCAGCGACAGTGCTCTCACACTGAAGAATAAGCTGTTAAAATCAGACTGTGAAATACGTGGAAACTTTCTGTGCAGTTATCAAGTGTGTGTGTGTGTGTGTGTCTGCCTTTTCATAATTTAATCCTGTACTTATTCTATTGTTTGCTTTCTCATAGAAATTGATGAAGATCGTCTCCCAAATCAGCTGTACAAGGTAATCTAGTTTCTTGTCTATTAAAGTTTGATTTTGTTGTAACAAGATTACGAAAATGAAATTATGTGAATTCTGGGTTTCAATTTTAAGCTAGTTCTATGTTATAGTAATATCTTCAATCTAAGAGCTCTCTGCCCAGCTGACGCGCAGCGCTGATATTTCACAGGCAGCCTTGTTGAACTCTCCTCGGCAACGGCGAAAAGGGCAAAAGGGAACGCCTACAATGAAAGGTGAGTTATTTTATAAGCATTGCCATCAATACTACAGTAACTGTGATGCTGGTACTTTAAGTATTATAGCACACTTTTGGTGCTTGAGAAACAAATGCAAAAGTCACATTTGGCTTTGGAGGACAATGCTTTATACTCTGTCACTACTTTACTGTAAGACAGTGAAGACTGTGGTAATGACTGAAGAAGAAGGTTAGTAAGCTGCTCAAGTCAAAATGATAATAAGTACCATAAACCAGTACTCTGTGTAATCTCTGTTAAATTGTTGTGTGCTCTTTTGATAAAACACCAACTGATCATAAATCAGCTCTTTATGACTAACACTATTCATTACCACACAGAAAAATATTGTTGCAACCAAAACCTGTCTTCCTTCTCTCACCCCAACCAGTCGCAACAGGCCCCGCCCCTCCCTGAGCCTGGTTCTGCTGGGGGTTTCTTCCTGTTAAAAGGGAGTTTTTCCTTCCCACTGTTGCCACAGTGCTTGCTCATAGGGGGTCACATGATTGTTGGGTTTTTCTCTGTATGTATTAATGTAGGGTCTACCTTACAATATAAAGCACCTTGAGGTGACTCTTGTTGTGATTTGGTGCTATATAAGTAGCACTGAATCCAATTGAAATCGAAAACTATTGCAGTATATTAGTTAGTATTAAGGTTTTTTTTTTTATATATTGCTCAGCAAAAAGCTGATGGAACACCAAGATAAAAAAAATAAACTAACTAGCTGACGCCTCATACATACAGTAAGTGCATTAGTTCAAAAAAGTAAATTTTTGGCACAAAATGAAAGATTTCTATTCGCTAAGAGGGTGGCTTGCCAGTGTTAGCCGGATCACTCCACATTTAAACCTCTCAACATTAAAATTGTTATAGAAGTAGTTTTTGTTAAAGGAATCAAATCCAAACGTTACCCAAATAAAAACATCCAGTGGAAGTCCAGGTGTTCTCATTTAAGTTGATGACATGTTGTTATTGGTGTTGAGTGTTATATGTGGACCCGGTCGGCACTCAATCCAACACTCATTCATTTTCCCATTATCTTATGAGAATTCGTCCCAGTTTTTATGTTTTCAGTTTAAAAAGTGGGTCTCTAATTTTGAGATTAAGGTCCTGCACCACATGAAACAGGCAAATTATTTATTTATCTTTATTTCTACTTTTTTGGGGTACTTGGACCCAGCAATTTAATGCAAATCCATTTTTAAGAGACCAATTCAGCTTACATACAAACACAACATGTAAATGGTTTTATGCAAAGTACGTACAATAACATGGAGCGTTTACGAAAAGTGAATCAAGAGAACATTAAAGACGAGATAAAAGAAATAGGAAGCTCTAGGATATTTCCTTTTCAATTAGTTTTACAGCTAAACTGCATGCTCTGAGTGTGATGAGTCAGTTCTTGCAGAGGAGATAATCAGTGTGCTTTAGTTTCCTACTACAAGGGGATTAAAACTAATAAACCACAGATGGAGGAGGCCAGAGACAGCGATTAAAGAATTCATATCCAAACTCTGATGTGTCTTTACCTGCCCTGTCACTCCAAACTGTGCAGGGGGTTAATTAAATGTTGCCAGTTTATTAGATTCTTAACCCACAATATGTTTTCCACCTACACTTCCCTTCATTTCTGTTACCTTTGTGCTATTCATGACCCATCTTTTCTCCCATTGGCTGCCTTCATCTCACACCTCTTTCTTTCCTTACTCTCACCTCCCTAGTGATTTTTTTTGCACTTTAAATTTACCCTTTAACTTCAATATTCCTACAAACCCACCTCCTCTTCCTTTGCAAGATAGCTCTTCCACTTATCTAACCTCTTGTCATTTTCGTCTTCTCTTCCCTGCTTTTCTTTTACCTCTTCTGTTACCTCCCAGAGCTACAGTTCCTGGTAGAGCACCACCTGTACAGGCAGCAGCAGGGAGCTGGAGACGAATGCTCCTCAGAGAGCTGCCTGTCAGACCGGCCCAGCCCCGACTCTGTGCCCACGGGAGAGGAGCTCCCCCACGACGATGAGGCCACTGCAGAGGCCTTTGAGAAACTGCGTTGCCAAATGGAGGGTATGTGCGGAGGCTGTCAAGCAGGATTTAATTTGTGTGCTTGCAGCTGCTTATTCAGCAACAGATGCATCCTTAAAATCTGCTACAGTACTAATTTAGGCACAAAGACTAACACTCAACACTTGGTCCACTGAGACCTACCGTATTTCTGTGTTTATGTTGATTTTCCCTTAAGATAATCTTCAGTGAATATGGTCATGAGTGAATATTTATCTACCTCTACAACCTATCAAATCATATTTTGGAGTGATAGTGGATTTCAGTAGGTAGGAGTTATTTGCAAATAACGGGTAAAAAGTACCCTCTACTACTACCTACATTACATACCGTCATGCTTAGCGACAAGCAATCATCATTTCCATCATTACATCGGACAGAATGATCCACCCCTCCGTCTGCATGCATTGAAAAGCCTGAAGCTCAGAGAGCCGCAGAGAGATCCCTCAGCTGCAGAACAAAGAACTCACCAATACCAACAGACATGACATTGACAAAGTGACAGAATGAAAACGTGTTCTGCAAAACAGCTTTGAGTGGCAGCTATAGGCGTGGAAAAGCGGCTATAATTGTGCACCCTATGAGGATTGTTAGCTGAATATTGCTCGGCCTCAGTGCCTTTGCTGTTTTTCAATCCTGTGCTTCCCAACCCTGCAAATCAAACTCCTCCAAAGGGCACAAGAGCATATTTCTGAGAGGCGCTAAGATTTTTGATGGATGAGCATAAACATTTCCTCTTTTCCTGTTTTTTGTAAAATATTTGTTCTCTTCAGATTTCAGCAATTATTTCAATTAATTATCTAACGAGATTTTATAAAACCCTGTGATGTAGTGGACGGCAATCAAAATACTTACATTCACACTCACAGTCATACAATGTTTTGTTGTTAAAATGCCTTTAATTACTTTCAGTTATTACGCTCACACTCTGACGGATGCAACAGAGACAATTTGGGGTTCTGAACATTTCTTCATGCAGACTGGAAGAACTGGGAAACAAACTACTCACCTTCTATTTGTAACCAACTCAACTTCTACTTCCTCTCCCTTATTTGGACATGAATATAATACTTGTGTAAATCTGCTTGGTTGCTTTTGATTTTTGTATCTCAGTCAGTCAGTGCAGCATAAGGGGGAATAAATATTGCTTACAAAACATAAATTAATTTATGAATAAAGCCTGAGGGGTGACTGCGGGGGGAAAGGGTATAGAAACGAATGAAAAGATGGTTATGAAGCAGTATGAAGGTCCTAAAGTGGAAGGAGAAGATGGAAGGCCATGCCGTGTGGCATCATAAAAAGCTGAAAATACTGGAAATAACAAACACAGCACATTAATATGACCCTGGGGTGTTCGATAAGGGGAAAAGGGATAAAAGTAAAGAAGAAAATGAGGCAAGAAACATTAAGATGTCTGTAAGGAATGTATGTAAATCGATGATGGATCAGGAGAAAAGGGGGAGGGTAGACGTGAAACAAAGGCATCAGATAAAAATGGGAGAATATGAGGAAATATGCTTTAAAAAAAAGTCAGAATTTAAAAGAATTGTTCGTTTCCTTGTCACGATGTGAAGAAACCACATTTGTCTCAGTATCATCAATAAAAATTTAGCTAGCTGCTTGTTTAGTTTAGCATGATAGACTAGATGGAATAAAACAGGAAATATCTAGTACAAATAATATAGTTAGCTTAACATAATTAGTATATTTTAACTTTTATGTTATTTTGATGACATACTGTAATTATGTTGACACATCATGCAACAAATCATTTAAAATGATTTGATAAAAAGAAAACGTCTTATAACCATCTCTGTTCTCGGTTCACTTTGCTGTCCAGATAAGGAAACACTTTCTCTGCATTATCAAAGAGCAGCCCGGCTGTCCTTGAGGCCCTTTTTAGAGCCAAAACAAACAGCACCAAAAAAATTAAATAGGTCAGGGTGCTCCCAAAGGCTCCATTAGGAATTAACTTTTTCAGCCTCCAGTGAAACCTCACCAAATACAGGGTTTCACTGCAGAAACCATTAGCCGTACCCAGGTAGTTTGGTTTTGATATTTTGTCAGATTGTTGTAATATTCAGTACTAATGTTGACTCTCCTTTAATAATAAAAAAAAAAAAGCACTTCCTATAGATCAAAGCAGCACCATAACAGATACTATCTCCTGGCTTTGCTTTTGTCTGATGACAAAACCAGAGGTGAGTTTTTCGGGGTCAGGGATAACAGTTCAGTGTAATGGAAGGTGGATACAAGGTCACGGCATACACTGTGTACACTTTAGTAATTGGCCGGGACTAATGCATCATGAGTGGACAAGACTCTTTTTTTTCTGAAGCTGTAATAGCACAGGGCCATTTTTTTTAAATCCGCTGTAACACAGATGTGTTTGTGGTGTAAAAGCTTCAAAAGCTTTACACTGACATTTTTTTTTAATCTTTTTGCATTATTCACCTTATAGATGAGCTGCAGATTAAGTCCTCAGTCCGGGTGAAAGGAGTTAACAGCAAGATAGGGGAAATAAATGAATGATTATTAACATCAGTTGTTGGCAGCTTTGCTCAAAGATCACCAACTGGACACTTCAGGTGCAATTGTTGATGAGACTAGTTGAAATAACGAAAACATCTTCATCCTTTTCAACTCAGTTTGAACTTCCATTCCATCTTGTTTACCATTCGTCTTTCTGCCCTCTGCAGAGTTCTCGAGGGAGAGTCTATTAGAGGCTGCCGGTGGGCTCGAGTGTCCCCTCACCAAGGAGAAAGAGGATTGCTTCAGTGTTGCCAGTGTAGCAGATCCCTTATCGCAACAAAACAATGCACAAGCAGGTACATAACTGTCATTAGAGCCTTGCTTTTTGCAGAAAATGTCTCCAACGTGGTCTTTTCCTCAGGGGACTCCTCATCCTCCATGCAGCCGGCAGGATTTATTTAAATTTGTTAAACTGCGAAACAGCTTTGGCTTGCTGTCATATAATCATGGCTCGTCAACAAACATCTGTGAAGTGGCTTTGATCCCCATTTCACAGAGCACCGACATGGCTGAAATACCCTGAGAGGAAGGTACACACACGAGTGGAAAAATCAGGTTTGGGAAAAGGGGGCAGGAGGAGAGCTAATACTGGCATATGGTGCAAATGGAGCATGTAGAGCTTGTCTTTTTTCCCCTTTCTGTATTTCATTCTTTCTTTCTCGCTGAAATGTATTATTTCTTTTCTATGACTTGCTGTGAGTCCTAAAATCTTTCATGAGGCATTGATGGTCTTATTAGTGAACCCACAGCTGAAATAAGCCCAACATCTCTCCAGTCTTGCGCTTTTAAAATTCATATAAATTTTTTTAATCATATTTCACATGCTGAGACAAACACAGCTCACTCCTGGCTACTGATCATTTGATAGGATGATACAAATGCTGCTCATTGATTTCAACTGTAGTAAGTGTCATGTGAGCAAAGGGAAACCTGTGACTACAAGTTCACCATTGCAGGTAACACACCACTTGGCTGGTTGACTCACTTGACTTAATTTCTCACACATTTGGATTTTGAGCGACAGTGTGGGCCTCATGGATGCGGAGTAATACAAATCTTAGCTCAACTACATAGTTACATTTAATGAGCTATGTTTGGAGAAGCACAGTTTAGGGTCGTGAAAACCCAATCTGATTTATCCATGCATGGTGTGAAGTCTTGGGTCATCAGAGAGATTCAGCACACCTGTTCCAGCTCCACTATCAGCTGGTTAACAAGTCTGTCTCCTCTCTCTGCTTTCCATCTTGTAAATCTTTCACAGCACACATTTTGACCTGTCACAGTAAGGAAAGCACAAGTAAAATTAATGATGCTTCACTTCCTTAAGTGTTCCAATATTATAAACCATGACAGTGAAATGCCAAACACTGTATATAAACGATGGACATACCCTCCAGGTATGATGTCACTTCAGCAGTGTTGGGAAGGTTACGTTTTAAATGCATTCACTACAGATTACAGAATACATGCACCAAAATGTAATTTGTAATGTATTCTGTTAAGTTACTCAATGTGAGCAACATACTGTGAATACTTTGGATTACTTGGTATATCGCGAGTAGCCTTCAGTAATAGTAATAAATCACACAGCAATAGTAGATCGAAGGTACTGAAGTGGCACATAACCCAGGTAGCTACCTCAGCTACAGGTAGTTGCAGTAGGCTAACATTTGTTTTTTAAAAAGAACTGACTTCCAGATGTTTCTTTGGGTTTGATGCTGAGAGCAGCTTGGTTGCTGGCAAACAGAGTTTGCATTGCACAGTCATATTCCCCCATTCCTTTCTTCTTTAAATGTGAAGTGGTGTCGGAATTGCCAAATAAGAAATGAATTCCTGCCCATGCAGTGCTGCCTCTGTTGTGCTGGCTCCGGGTCCATTGTTTAACTGACGCCACCAAAATTAGCAGGACGTTGTTACATTAGAACCGTTTGTTTGGGTTTCTGGCAATGCGTGGAATTACTAAAATTAGAGTGTGGATAGCCTAACATATGAAACTGGAAATGACTGTTGTGTAATCCATTTATTTCAACAAAGTAGCTGTATTCTAATTATCACCTATTTAAATGGTAACTTTAACGAAATGCAGTTACTCACTTCACCCGTTGCCCACTGGTGGTGGTCAGAGGGCCCGGTGGCGCCAGTGTCCGGCAGCCTCGCCTCTGTCAGTGCGCCCCAGGGTGGCTGTGGCTACAATGTAGCTTGCCATCACCAGTGTGTGAATGTGTGTGTGAATGGGTGGATGACTGAATGTGTAAAGCGCTTTGGGGTCCTTGGGGACTAGTGAAGCGCTATACAAATACAGGCCATTTACCATTTACTCCCCAACACTGCACTTCAGTTTTTCACTACTCAGTCTTCAAATATCAGACAAAAGCCGAACTCAGCTCAGAGAAAGAGACTGTTATTTTTAGCTATTTATTTTAGCATGACAAAAAAAAATAATGTTGACAACCATATACTAAATTAGCAATGAGTGTGCAGATACCTACAGATAGCCAGAGTGAGAGAGAGAGAGATGCAGGTCTGGGCTTTATCCTGGTTCAGCTGAATACTTCACCTGAGTGGAAATCGAGCATCATCAACACACCTGTGCTTTCCAAAACATGCTTTGGGTTTGTTGTTTCATTTATCATGTCGTTTTAACAGGCAGAAGGTTTAGAGGGATGACAGCAAATAGAGAATATGACAGAATCAGGGTAACCCCTGATTTTATTGATCCCACGCCAGAGGTTTAAATTCAGGCTTCATCTGGTATCTGCTACTTCTGACATGTACTCATGTGAACACCCAGTGATTCTGGAAGCTTTAATAAAATAATAAATTTACTAATGCCCATAGTACTCAATAAAAAGCTAAATGCATGTAATGTTTATGTAGCAATATGTTGATTACGCGCTTACCTTATTGTTCATATGCAAACCCCCCCCCAAAAAAAAGCACAGCAGCAAAAAGAAAAAAATTGGAGAAATACTAAATAAGCTGTAAATATTTATTGTTTATTTGCACAAGTCCATTAAAATCTCCAGCGTCAGCCTCCAGCCTCTTCTCTCACTCTTTTATGTCTCTGTCTATATTTCTGCAGAAACAAAAGCAGGAGTGAGTCAGCCGGCAGAGGAGAAGACAAAGAAATGCAGCCTGAAGACAGAGAAATAGAGCAGTCCTCTGTGCAACACAATGCTGCTCAGTCTGCTCAGTCAGCCCTACACAATGACAGAAGATTGTGTCTGCAGATTCACTTTTTCAAAACATCAGGGCTTCAATATTCCTCTACGGCCAGGCCTTAGTTACCACCTTGAGAAAAAAAACAAAAGTTTCTACATTTATTTTGTGTCACAAATCTTGTGTAGAGAGACAGTTGTTATAATTATGTTTGTTTTTGTTAAAGCTCCCCCCGCACTAAATTAAAACTAGCCTATTGTATCCCCCAACTGGGATTTATTATCTGGTTAATGGGACAAGCTTTCATGTCTTACTCACACATATATTATCATAATCTGTCACAGGTTTAATATCCCGTTGATTTATCAAAGACAACAAATATTTTATTTGCAATCAATGTAGACATTTTCAATCAATTTATACGTGCCATGAATTCAACATTTATTGTTCCATCTCGTAGCAATAAAATAGCATCAGAACCTTGTAAGTAACCAGAGGCAAAACCTTCAATTTAAATTCAAATGCCGCCTCGTATGAGCAACCAGAAAAGACAGAAATAAATGTGGGTTTATTGATATTTTATAGTAAACCTATATTTGGATTTTTGAACAACTCGGTTGATATTTACAAATATTTTTAAGGCCAACTGCAATTTTATTTATATTATTAATAATTAGTCGATTAAACACATGGAAGAAACTAGAAAGCCATTTTTGATCATAATTATGATTTCCTTTGGCTCCAGTGGGTCTCAAACTGTCGAGCCTGCCTGGTGGGGCAGACAAGCACGGTGTGTGGGTGGCTGTGATTACCAAAGTTACAAAATAAGGTGAAACTAAACTGACTGAAAAATGTAAAAAGAGGCTAATGACCGTTGATCTGTATTTTGTTGAGCTGTCATCCTTGCTTGACTTCTGAAGGCGGGCGTTCCAGAAAGACATTTTCAGACATTTTCTTCAGACATTTGTCCCACATATGTCTGACAGAAGAGTCGCTCATAGGTTAATCACACTGGGCATTAATTGAAATTCAATCTATAGAAGTTTATTTTCATGCTTTAAGTTTATTTTCATACATTCTGCGCTCACAGTTGCAGTGATTGCATCCAACAAACTTTTACACACACAGAGCTCTGTGTAGATGCAGTTTCATGCTCTGCAGTTCTAAACAGACAAAACGTATAATGTCATTTCTTGGAAATATTTTTAATGTGATCATTTCTAGATGAAATGATTCACAAATAATCCCAGAAAACATATTTTTCTGCAGCCTTAACATCATCCCAAGCCTGCAGGTATTGACTCTGTAAACAGATGTAAAAAGAAATCCAGTCAGAAACCAGTCCAGCCATCAGAAAAGTAGACTAATTATACTGTAACAGCTGTCATTCTGGTTTTGTTTTCATTTTTAAGAATAGAGAATTACTCCCGATACAAATAGGAAGGCACTGCTTGTTGAATGAGAGAAAACAGAAAAACCAACCTGCAAGCTAAAGTGCAGCACATTAAACCACATCTAACTGCTGGTCTGACTCTGACTCCCCTGGTTATGCTTCAGGGCCACTGCTAACGATTGCCTGTAGCTTAAAGGCTACAGGGCAGATATGTTTACTTAGTTTGTTATTTGTGTGGCTAAGATTCAAACTCCTGTCAGTCAGTCACACACATGCAGACAGCTGAAGAGAAGCACCGCTGACCTTTCCCCAAAGTCATTTTAGTTCTTTTTAGCATAAAGGGAGGGAGAAAGCCTGTCTTTAAGTCATGAAACACCCTCTTGCATGGCACTGAATGTACAGTGACTTGTTGTCTACGCCCAAGGTACTTACTGTGCTTCATTTTGTACAAAAAAACCCAACAAATTTAAACACTTTTTTTTTTAACTGCAGCATTTTATTTGTGTTCTAGTTTGTAACAAAAAAAAGTCATCAGCACACTAAATATTTGTCATGTAATCTGTCTTTGTATCACTGAAGTGGCATCATGTGACAATCTTTCTATAACCTTCACATCATACTTGACATGTCTAAATGGAATAAATGAACAAAACTAAATCTGAAGTTTCAGTGTCACTTTAGGAGATTAATCAGCCACAGCAACAGCCGTTTGTTACTCAGTTGCCAACAATGGTCACTTTATCCACGATGAACAAGAAGAACAGTAAAACATTCCTCCGCAAGCTTTGTTTTTCTCCTGCAATGTATTTATGGGTAAACTTGTTTTTTGAATGGTAGTAGTGTACTTTACTTGAATAACATGGACTTTTTTTGTTCTAGTTTTACTTGATTGATGATTACATCTGTAATCTAAATTTGTTTGATACAATAAAATGTTTAAATTGGTGATTGTTTTCTTTTTTTTGTAGGAAAGATTATATGAACTTCATCAGCAGCGTTAGCATGAAGATGCAAAGAACCAGGAGAGCTTTGCCCATTCAAGTGTCAAAAAAAGAAAACCAGATGCATTTTAGCAGGAATTCTTAAAGTCTTCACGTATCGTTGCATCATTGGTCATGCGCTCAGCTAAAGCTGATTTTAACTTTACTCTAAAAATAGACGCTCTGCTGTTAAATAATTTAATGCAATCTGAAGCAAGAGCATAAAAGCACATATATTTTTCATAAAAGGACAAGATTTCACAAATGCATTTTGTAACACTGCAGCAGTTTAAGCTGCGTGGGATACTGTATCTTTACAGACTGCTGTGAACAAGTTTAGCTGTTAAAGCGTTTCACCTTTGTGATTGGAGGTGGACATAGTGAAGGATCCTTTCAGAATAAAAGCCCAATTGCACTTTATCTGTTAGAGAGACTTAAAAAATATTTTGTAATGTACATTTACACTGTTGTACCTAAAATTTAGCTGAATTATAGAAAGGATATCCATATCTTACAGAACAGTTTTTTCTTTAACACAAGACTCTTTGTGTAACAGTCATTACTGTCTTGCTGTGTGATGGATTTATATTCATTTTATATTCAAAGTGGGTGTTGGGATGGAAGCTCAAATCATGCAAATCATACTGACAAGCAGCAGAGCTGTGTCTTCAGTTGTTGTTGTGGCATTTATTCATTTAAAGACTATCAGCTGATTCAAATTAGAAAAACATTTTTTTCCCATCTGTTGTAAGAAGAAAAGCGATGGTGCAATTCCAAACTGCTTCACTGACGAGCATTAAAATATGAAGCTGGTTGTGAAGCTGAACTACCCCTGGGCCATTGCAGTCTTTGCTCTATAGCTCCTCTTGCTGGGAGAGCAGAGAACACTTTAAATTTGAATGCATGCTTTACCATCTTCCATCCATTCGCTACCGCTTTTCAGGGTCGCAGGGGCTTTGCCATCTTATAATGGTTAATTTTGGCTGACCAAACATCGGCCTCTACCTCTTTATTATTTATTATTACTACTTATTCCTTAAAGTATTTCTCCCTTTTAAATTCTAAGAGCCTCTTTAGTTCACTTGCATTATTACTTTTTAATTCATCATTATTTTTGAGGTGCAATAACCAAGGAACTATGGTATGATTGCTTTCTAAATACAAGATAATTAATACAGAGTAATATCAAATTTTACCTTCTACAATAAAGGCTCTTCAAAAGAAATTTAAAATATTGCTTTTAAGTAAAAAAAAAAAAAGTTAACTGTTGTACGTTTGGAAAATGCAAAACATAACCGATTTAACTTAAGTTCCTATATTGAGTTGTCATGTCTGGATTACTGGCCCATGTGTAAATATGTCCCAGACAAAGAAACAGACTACAAAAAACTCATATATGACACAAAGTTTATTTTAAGGTTAAATGATTGTTTTATGCTTTGAAAGTTCAAATGTAACTTACAGCTGTTTAGATGACAAATTAAATTAATGATATGGACTAGACTGTATAACATGACCAGCATGTGTACTTTTGTATTTAAATTATTGTAGTATGCTACATTTAAAATGAGGAAGTTTCTGTGATTACGCTACATCTTACCTTGGTAAGATCTCTCAGTTTTTAAAGTAAAAGGTATCTGAGTTTTGTTACAAAAGTGTTACTTTTTTCTATTCTGCAAACACGTATTACAAAGGAGCTGCTGTCTGCTATTTTGTATCTGTAGTGGGGTCTTGCAGGGATTTTTCTGACAACACTTCTTGTCTCGATCGCTGCTCTTTTGTCTCGCCGGGGTCTGAAAATCCTGGAGGATATAGAAGATTGGGAAAAGACATCAGAAAATCTAGTTAGGTTGAATAGAAAATAATATCTGTATGAATTCATCTCAACATGAGATCATTCTAAAATGAATTTAGATAACAAATCAAATCAAGGGTACTGAGCGCATTTATGGAACAAAGAGGCTTTTCCTAAGCCAGATCAGCAACAGGTCTTTTATTCTACTTTAAAAGAGGTTGTCAAGCTTTTTAAAGGTGATCTTTTTAAATTTGAGTTGTTGAAATATGTGCGAGCAGAAAAGGAGACTAAGTAGAATATAAAATTAAGTATAGACATTTAAATAAAACCTCAATTGTGTTTATTTTTTTTATATTTTAATGCATATTTGTGATTTTTGCACGTATAAACAAATAATTATGCAACCCACCATTTGAGCCACTTTCCTTCCATTTGAGCTTGTTGTCCTCAGTGTGCCGTGTCCAAGTAGAGCGGAAGCTCACCAGCTCAGCTGTGATGTGTGCGAGGCTCCACTGCAGGCCTCTGGAGCTCTCCTTCCAAAGATTACTGGTGAAAGAAAACAGTGCTGTTTGTATGCATATTCATATTCCAGTCATGAAAACAAATGACTCAGCTTAACCTGAGATTTTCTACACCAAGGTAAAGGATTGCACTTTTTTTCCATGAAATTATCTTCAAATATATCTTCAATAAAAAGAAAACAAATTAAAAGGAAAATAAGCAGCACATAAACAGGATTTTGTGCTGACACTTTTGGGTTCCTACTGACTTTGGTTATCCTTCTGGTGTGTCTAAAATGAGCAGTTACTGCTACAAATTTGAAGATTAATTCACCTTTGAATAATGATCATGTTTTGTCACTCAAAATTATCAAGTCATGATTACAGGTTTTTGACCAACTCAGCAAATGATAGTAACATAAAAAACACGGTGTACATGATCAACATATACATAGAAAGCAAAGAATTAGTGAAACTACAAGCTCCAAGTGTAAAACTGCAAAAGAGCCAAAAACTGAAGTTTCCTGAATAACCAGAGCTTGACTCCAAAAGCATGTCAAGTAGACCTTCACGTTAAACTGACCAGCTTTACAGCATAATTAAAGCCTGAAAAAAGTTTGAAGTTAATTTCCTCCTTTTGGGACAACTGTATAGATACTTTTTTTTTTTAACAAGTCCCCAGTTTGAATTCTATTAAAGCTAAAAAATTATGCAGTGTCAGTGCTGTGTCTGTCCATCTGAGTGACAGATGGAGCCATTTAATGACTAATTGTACTAAGACACACGAAGGAAGTAGGTTTTCAAGAGTTTTAAAATCAGTTTTAGTCAAACTCTGTGTGCCACTCAATATCACAGTAAAAACAGACTTCTAATGTGTGTCAAATGCTTTGGCGCGATATGGCAGCCTCGCTTCTGTCAGTCTGCCCCAGGGCAGCTGTGGCTACAACTGTAGTTTACCTCCACCAGTGAGTGAATGAATAGTGGTATTGTAAAGCGCTTTGGGTGCCTTGAAAAGCGCTATATAAATCCAATCCATCATTATTATTATTATATTAATATCTAAAACCAAAAGTGCAATAAAGTTTATTTTCCCAGCAGGTTTCACAGGCCTTGTGTTTACCTATGTCTGTTGCAGGGGTCTGGTGGGCCTGGGTTCTCTTCCACCAAAGGAATAACAATCTTTTCAGCCATATCGGTCAGCAGAGAAAATGTAGGATACACAATGAAGTCTATGAAACCTGCGAGAACAAAATCCAGCATATC